ATTGTTATTTATAATTTGTATAATTAACCTCCCTGTGGTTCGACCCCGGTCTTGCCGGGTTATTTATTACTTCGACACTCCTGCACTTGGGAGAAGACATCAATCTTTTAGTCGTGTCATTAAGGAATTTCTAGAGAGCTTCCATTTAGCATCTTCAAAGTAATTATGATAGCTTTCTTTATCAAGAGTACCTATAGAGATCAAGTGTAGGCACATATCAGGCACATGCCTAACATCTTTGAGTAGCAATTTACACCCAGTATTGGTTTCCAACCAAATATGTCCAATGCTCACAACACTAGCCATCCCTTGATTTCCTATCCTAATTTGACCAAAGTCACCAGCAGTATAGGATGTGTAAAAATCACGTCGGGGTGTAACATGATAAGAAGCTGCTGCATCTGTAACTCAGGTGGTATCTTGATATGCAAGATTAATACAACTATTATGATAAAAATGGTAACATTACCATCAAATACAACCACATCTATACCATTTTCTTTATTCTTATCTTTATCTTTACCCTTTTTATCTCTTTTATACTTTGTACAATCTTTTTGAATATGCCCAGGCTTGTAACAAAAATAACACTTAATTCCTTTCCTTGACTGAGATCTTCCTCTTGGCTTTCATTTGCTTTTTCTATTGTTGGATTCTTTATCTTGCTTGCTGTGAAAGAACCTACTTTGACTTCTCCTTCGACTTTCTATAACAAATGCATGAGACTCGGAAGTGTTTATCCCTTTCCTCCTCTTCTCTTTATTACAGATACTATCCTTCACTGTTTTCAAAGTAATCTTTCCATTTAGAGTAGAATTGCTAAGTGACACCACCAACATCTCCCAACTATCTGGCAATGAACTCAATAGGATTAGTTCTTGCATCTCATCGGCTAACTCAAGATTCATCAATGACAGCTGATTTAAGAACCCTTAGAATTCATTTATATGCACTGAAGCATCTGCACTATCTCTATACTTTAAATTCACAAGGTCTCTAATTACAAAAAACCTTGTTTTGTGCATTCTTCTTGGCAAATGTTTCTTCCAACATCTTCAAAACTGTATAATAGTCATGTTCTTGAGAAATATGATTAATAGACTTAGAAGATACTCATTTTCTAATATAAGTAGTTGCCTTTCTATTAAGCCTATTCTATTTTGCCTCATCAATCTCATCAGACTTTTTTTCTTTACATTTAAGCGACATGATTAGTACTTAAAAATACATTTTTATCAAGTTTTATGTCATCAGTTTGCACTTAAATATCAATAACTCCTTAACTAAAATATGTTTTATAATAATATATCTAATAATATAAGATACCTTTAATTTATGGTAAATATTCATTTTAAATACAGGCCTATCATATAAATAAAAGGATTGATTGATGAATTTAAGAACTGAAATTGAAAGGACAAAGAGATGGCCAAACTTA